GACATGATGACATGGCTACATGACATGGTGACATGGCTACATGATGACATGACTACATGATGACATGGTAACATGATTACATGGTTACATGATGACATGACTACATGATGACATGGCTACATGATGACATGACTACATCATGACATGACTACATGATGGCATGGTTACATGACGGCATGGTTACATGATGATATGGCTAAATGACGGCATGATGACATGGCTACATGACAGCATGGCTACATGAGTACATGGCTACATGATTACATTGCTACATGATGGCATGGCTACATGACATGATGACATGGCTACATGATGACATGACTACATGATGACATGGCTACATCATGACAATGACTACATGACGCGCATGGTTACATGATGATATGGCTAAATGGCTGGGCTAGTACGCAGCATGGTTACATGATGATATGGCTAAATGATTCTCGCATGATGACATGGCTCACCTCATGGCTACATCATGACAGCATGGCTACATGATGACATGAGTACATGGCTACATGATTACATTGCTACATGACTACATGATGGCATGGCTACACGGCTTTATGACCTAAGTGTTGTTGATATTCTTTGGACCCAACAACAATAGACTGTGCCAACTGTAACATCACATGGTGACACCATGCTTCAATGTAAGGACCTTTTACTGGTACTTGGTGCCAACTGTAACATCACATGGTGACACCATGCTTCAATGTAAGGACCTTTTACTGGTACTTGGTGCCAACTGTAACATCACATGGTGACACCATGCTTCAATGTAAGGCACCTTTACTGGTACTTGGTAGGTGCCAACTGTAACATCACATGGTGACACCATGCTTCAATGTAAGGACCTTTTACTGGTACTTGGTGCCAACTGTAACATCACATGGTGACACCATGCTTCAATGTAAGGACCTTTTACTGGTACTTGGTGCCAACTGTAACATCACATGGTGACACCATGCTTCAATGTAAGGCCCTTTTACTGGTACACCATGCTTCAATGTAAGGACCTTTTACTGGTGCCAACTGTAACAACACATGGTGACACCATGCTTCAATGTAAGGCCTGTTTACTGGTAGGTGGTACCAACTGTAACATCACATGGTGACACCATGCTTCAATGTAAGGCCTGTTTACTGGTAGGTAGTACCAACTGTAACATCACATGGTGACACCATGCTTCAATGTCAGGTTTGCGATTCCAACTGTCATGTTACATGGTGATACCATGTGCCATCCTTCAGCACTTCTTTTATATGTCAAGAAGATTTTACTTGTGATTACTGTCCCTTAGATTGATCAAGTAGTAGTAAAGATAAGTTATTTGAAATATTTTCAACTTTGTCATATTCTTTGATCTTGCTGAGCTTGATTAAAGATTCAGGGGCCCAGTCATCTGAGGATCTAACAAGTGCAGTGAAAAGTTAACCGTTGAAGATTCACCCTGATTAACCTTCTGGGTTGCTGGGTTACACAGAAGTAGACACTGTCACAACGAACTACATCATATGGAACTTTCCTCTCTCATCAAGCTGTTATGCTGTGATGTAACAGGGATGCTGTAAAAATCATTATTCAATCAAACACACTCACTCGTTTCTCCAGAGATCCATTTTAAACATATTTTTTAAGCTTTCCTCTCTAAAACTTTTTTGTTCTCTGCAGACAACATATTTTGCTATGTTTGTGTGCTCTGTATACCTTGTGTTCATGTACAACATTATTTTGGCTCTGAGCAGTGGGTACGATGTGTGAAGCCCATTTCTGGTGTCCCCTGCCGTGATATTGCAGGAATATTGCTAAAAGCGGCATAAAACTAGACTCACTCACTCACTCTGAGCAGACACAAGGATAATTATATATAGTATTAGTCTTCGCAGCTCCCCCTAGACTCCACACGGATCTCATATTGTATAGTGTTCTCTGTGATTCTGTAGACACCACACAGGTTTCATATTGTACAGGCTTCCTCTCTGTGATTGTCTAGACACCACACAGGTCTCATATTGTATAGTGTTCCTCTCTGTGATTGTCTAGACACCACACAGGTCTCATATTGTACAGTGTTCCTCTCTGTGATTGTCTAGACACCACACAGGTCTCATATTGTACAGTGTTCCTCTCTGTGATTGTCTAGACACCACACAGGTCTCATATTGTACAGTGTTCCTCTCTGTGATTCAGTAGACGTGACACAGGTCTCATATTGTACTGTGTCCCTCTTGTATAGTGTTCCTCTCTGTGATTGTTGTAGACACCACACAGATCCGCATATTGTATTGTGTTCCTCTCTGTGATTGGTCAGACACCACAGATCCGAGGTCCTCTCTGTTTGTAGACACCACACAGGTCTGTTGTACAGTCTTCCCCTTTGTAATTGTTCAGACACCACACAGGTCTCATATTGTACAGGGTTCCTCTTTGTGATTGGTCAGACACCACACAGGTCTCATATTGTACAGGGTTCCTCTCTGTGATTGGTCAAACACCACACAGGTCTCATGTTGTACAGGGTTCCTCTCTGTGATTGGTCAGACACCACACAGGTCTCATATTGTACAGTGTTCCTCTCTGTGATTGGTCAAACACCACACAGGTCTCATGTTGTACAGGGTTCCCCTCTGTGATTGGTCATACACCACACAGGTCTCATGTTGTACAGGGTTCCTCTCTGTGATTGGTCATACACCACACATGTCTCATACTGTACAGGGTTCCTTTCAGTGATTGGTCATACACCACACAGGCCCCATGTTGTACAGGGTTCCTCTCTGTGATTGGTCAGACACCACACAGGCCCCATGTTGTACAGGGTTCCTCTCTGTGATTGGTCATACACCACACATGTCTCATACTGTACAGGGTTCCTTTCAGTGATTGGTCAGACACCACACAGGTCTCATGTTGTACAGGGCTCCTTTCTGTGATTGGTCAGACACCACACAGGTCTCATATTGTACAGGGTTCCTCTCTGTGATTGGTCAAACACCACACATGTCTCATGTTGTACAGGGTTCCCCTCTGTGATTGGTCATACACCACACAGGTCCCATGTTGTATAGTGTTTCTCTATGTGAGTGTTCACACACCACACAGGTCCCATGTTGTATAGTGTTCCTCTATGTGATTGTTCACACACCACACAGGTCCCATGTTGTATAGTGTTCCTCTCTGTGATTGTTCACACACCACACAGGTCCCATGTTGTATAGTGTTCCTCTCTGTGATTGTTCACACACCACACAGGTCCCATGTTGTATAGTGTTCCTCTCTGTCATTGTTCACACACCATGTTGTACACAGACCCGTGTTGTATAGTGTTCCTCTCTGTGATTGGTCGTTCACCACACAGGTCCCATGTTGTATAGTGTTCCTCTCTGTCATTGTTCACACACCACACAGGTCCCAAGTTGTAGTGTTCCTCTCTGTCATTGTTCACACACCACACAGATCCCATGTTGTATAGTGTTCCTCTCTGTCATTGTTCACACACCACACAGGTCCACATGTTGGTCCCATGTTGTATAGTGTTCCTCTCTGTCATTGTTCACACACCACACAGGTCCCATGTTGTATAGTGTTCCTCTCTGTCATTGTTCACACACCACACAGGTCCCATGTTGTATAGTGTTCCTCTCTGTCATTGTTCACACACCACACATGTCTCATGTTGTACAGGGTTCCCCTCTGTGATTGGTCATACACCACACAGGTCCCATATTGTATAGTGTTCCTCTCTGTGATTGTTCACACACCACACAGACCCCATGTTGTATAGTGTTCCTCTCTGTCATTGTTCACACACCACACAGACCCCATGTTGTATAGTGTTCCTCTCTGTGATTGTTCAGACACCACACAGGTCCCATATTGCATAGTGTTCCTCTGTGATTCTCTAGACATGACACGTCTCATGTTGTTCCTCTCTGACAGCGGAGATTACTCATGCTATTGTCATGCTGTGTCTATCTTGTTACAAGTGTCAGTCTTGATTCTCTTGGGATGCATGTCATCATGTACAAACACAGTAAGGCGTTCTGTTATGTCAGTGTGTAGGGCATACATGTCATTGTTAACCTGCAGCCTTGTCATTCCAGCAGAAGCTGGTGGGCAGTCACTGTAAGGGCCTCACAGGATTATACTTATCAATATGACTGAGGATCATTCTGTTGCATGGCAAAGAGCTAAGACAGAATGTCATGTAAATGTTTTTCAGTAATCTGAAATATGTATTCTTGGTTATTGTATGTCTTCATTTGATAGCATTTCACAAGGATATTGCTGACATAGCATTTTATTTACTCAATCATTCACTCACTCACTCAGTCACTTAAAGTTCACCTGTTGTAATATGAGGCATGTATAGGTTTGTATATAACACAAACTATTGTCAAAGAAGAGTCTGCGAAAACAACAAAAGCTTCTTCACACTGCAAGTAAGTGAAAACATGTCTTTTTGGACTATATTAGCTCTTCTTACTGACTATTTTAGTTATTGTGATGGTCTCTCATCAGTCAGCTGTCATGATGCTACCTTTCTTTTACTGAGTGAGGCCAATGATACTTTCATGTGATAAACTCCCAATGTGTCTTTTACGTTTACCTGATGCTGAACTTAATGACATAGAAATGTGTTGATCATAACTTACAAATAAGAAGATTTATGATATGTGAAGAATGTGTTGCATCTCCCAAAATTCTTACTTACAAATAATGTGAAAATCCCCATTTTTTTTGACTGTGGTTAAAGTCCTACTCATCAGAAAATGTCTTTTTTTGAGAATTATTGTATGTTTGCATTGTTGATGCCAGAGCTGTAACATTATATTTATATTTTGGTTCACATCTAGCAGGTGATTACATATTGCAGTTAGCTGTATATCTTCCTGCAGTCTCTCCAACATGAAAAACACTGCCTGTTTGATGGTGACAATTGATCAAAGGAGTCAGCTACAGTCAAATGTGTTTTCAGTATAAAGAACATTCTCACCTTGTATGCAGGTATAGAGTTTCTTATCCAGTGAGCCTGTGGAGAACAATCTTCCACAAGCCTGCAATATGACACAGGCCAGTAACAGGTTGGAAGTATGTACAAGCAGTTCTGTCACAGATTGGCTGTGTATCTGGCACAGTTAGCAATTCCAACTGAATGTCCCATCCCCCTCCTGATAGTTTGTCTCATTGCTGCTACTTAGCAAGGCTGAGGCGGTGGTTGCCACTCAACTGAGAGCCAGTTGTCACAGTGCAAGGGAGATACCTTGTTGCCATGTCATGCTATACAGTAATTGGCGTATGGTGCAGAGAGCTAAACGTGAACACGCAAGACCAGCTACACAGCTTATCTGGTAGTTCCTTTGGCTGCAGGAAGCGCTAGTGCTGGTAAGGTATCTCCATCTGTCAGGCACCAGATTCACCAGCCAGGCATCAACTGCTCCTTCCACACTTCATCATTAATCCCTATTGATATGCTTTGTCATGTTAGTAGTCGTGACCAAAGGGATTTCAACTGGAAAGTTTGTTGTGTTTATTCATCAACGGTCTTCAGAAATGAGTTACCTGACTCAAGCATCCTTGAAGGTGTCACCACTAGTCGTGTGGATGGTTGTGCTAGTGGTGACATTTACAGTCACCTCACGATTGCCATTGACTTCCCAAGTATCACACCAATATCTCCATATTAATTCCACTTATTTACTAATCATCTTAGCCGACTTGCCTCCAAGCACCATTACACTACTCTGGTGTGTTATCTCCGGAAACATTAGTGGTGGTAACTTGTTTGGAAATAACTACACCAGAAAATGTTAAACTAATAGCATGAATAGGAGTTGAGACGTCAGTTTGGTTATGTAATGGACTTGACATTAGGAGGTTGCGTGGTTATCTCAGTGGAATCAATGAGTTGTCTGTGGACTTGAGTCGTTAGGGCGGCAACTGAGTTGACCTTCTAGGTCCAGGTGCACATAACCTGCATTGTTTAAGCCTTATTGGGTACAGACACAAAATATACTCATGTAGTTCAAAATGGAAATTATAAAAGTTATTATTGTAGATTTTAATAACAGGGAAGAACGAATTTGAGTTTATGACATACAGAAATTGGTTGGGTCAAACAACAGGAATGAAATGTGTTTTGATGTTTGTAACTAGGGGGAATGTACAACAGACCAAGGAGGCAATGGGTTTGGAGGCTTATTGCAACAGGGAATCAATTTCACTGTTTGAATAAAGTGATAAATTGTTTTTGTGCACAGGCAGTGTAATTCAGAATTAGCATATTTTGTTTTTGTTTTGGTGATACACACCATAAGGGATCAATAGGGATCGACCCTGACAAGCCACCCATCATTTTGTACTGTGACATCTGAGTGTCTAGGGATAGTGACATGCCCCTCCTGTAAGGCTGTCCCAACTGATCGACTGGGATCATATCGACATGCCACCTTAAGTACACACAGTACAGTGTCAACAGTTTACAGATCTACATGCTAGAGAAGGACTCCTTAAAACAACACAAAATATCTGAACTGATTGTAAATTCCACATGTGCTGATCTTGTATACTATTAATTCATGCTTACTTTGCATTTGTTTTGAATATACCATCTGATGTATGAACTGTTGTGTGTGATTTGAAATGTTGTGATATTTGAGTGTTGTGAGTGTATGTGAATGATAGGGTATGATGTACGTGCTTGGGTGAGTAGGGGCAAGAGAGTGAGTGTGTTTAGTGATTGTGAGAATTAAGTGGTGAGTGATAGCAGGTGTGAATCATTGTATGCAATTGCAAGGTAGGTTTAGTTAAAAAATTATATTTTCTTTTAATTTGGGGTTTGTGTTTACTCTAGTATGTGACCTTTATGTAGATTGGGTAAAGAGGCAGACTTGAAAAGTCACAATAAAATCTAATTACAAGTCGTAATGAGTTGATTGTAATGACAAAGGGGAGTAAGTTGTAGCTACAAGAAATAATGAGATGGCTTTAATGAAGTATTTGGTTGTAATGCCAAAATGGAAAGACTTGGTTGTATTGACAAGATGGAAAGACTTGGTTGTATTGACAAGATGGAAAGACTTGGTTGTATTGACAAGATGGAAAGACTTGGTTGTATTGACAAGATGGAAAGACTTGGTTGTATTGACAAGATGGAAAGACTTGGTTGTATTGACAAGATAAAAATACTTGGTTGTAATGACAAAATTGAATGAGTTGGTTGTATTGACAAGATTGAAAGATTTGGTTGTATTGACAAGATTTAAAGACTTGATTGTATTGACAAGATGGAAAGACTCGGTTGTATTGACAAGATCGGTTGTATTGACATTATAAATAAGTGATTTATTTGAGTGAACACTGGTAAAAGCATTCAGAAGCCTAGGGTTGGATCATTTGGGTGTCGATTGTGTATATTGCGTGTTATTGACAATGAAGTTTCACAAAGTTTTTCCGAATGCATGTCATAGTCTGTATGAAAGTGAAACGAAATGGCAGAGCTGACCACGCACTCACCCCCAACTCGCAGTTTTGGTGCTCAGGCCTGGCTTTCAGCCAGTCATGACTCCGTTATCCTTAGATTCAGGGTTGGCATCTCTGGTGTAATCTACACCTGACTATGAATGTCACCATTCCTTTGATGCTCAGTTAATAAATGTATAACAGGAATTATTAGTGGTAACACCACTCAGATTACCTGACAAAGGTTCCCATTTAATATTTCTCATGTGTGGGGTAATAACTCAACCATATGTTCAGGGCTGATGTATCACATGTTATGTAATATACACATGGAAGAGATGCAAGAGAGGAAATGTCAGTTGAATTCCAGAAACCATGGATGAAATGATTACTGGTAGCTGATAATGTTGATTAATTAATCACTGTTATCAAGCACAGTGGATTTGTCAAAGTTATGTTTAGAGTTAGGATATCCTGAAATGTTATATACATGTTGCAGCGTTGTTACATGGAACATGTTTGTCAGCTGCAGACCATTCATTTAAGTGAATATAGGTGGATGCATCCCTTGAAGATAATGACTGCCTGACATTGGTGATACTATTTTTTTCGGCTGTAGTTTATAATAATTGTGTTTCATTTCAAACTGATGTAACATTGAACAGAATCATTCCACTTCATTAAAGTTATCATCAGGAATGTGTTGGATGCGAGGCACACAAGACTAAGTTGTTCTTTTCTCAAGCCTGTTTGTTGTATTCATGTATGTATGAAATATTCACATCGGCAATATACTAAATGCTCAAATATTAGTAATTTTCCAATTTCTAAAAAACACAGATAAACTAAAATAGTGGATTAAAATAATAATAATATTTTAGTTATGCTTGAATTATATGACGAAGATATGAAAACGTACATTGACTGTCGTTTTCTTTCAGTCGTAAAAACGTTTTGTCAATGGGCAATGAAAATAAACTTCAAAATGTTTGGAATAGTTGCCCTTATACTGTCCATTGCACTTGTGGGTGGAGCAGCAGAGGCTGCCAACCAGTCAAGGTAGCCAGGTAGCCAGGGGGTAAACAATGACAAAAACAACAACCAATCGCAGGGAATTGGTCTAGATCAGTGTCCCTTTAATAATAGTTCTTATCAAACACTCAACTCTTCATCACAAACAAATATTCAATCATTATCATATTACAATTAATACTGTGTGTAATTCTGACATCCTTTTGATTCTCTTAGTAATTAACTTACTGAAAATGTCATTGTTGCTGCGTTTGTCAGCCCATGACATGAACACTCTTGACAAGATGAAAAAACAAATACAAAGTAAACAATTATCAAAATAATTAAACAGCTTTTTCCCCTTGACAATTAGTTTTAAAATGAGTAAAAAATAAATGCATTTCAGTTTGGATTTTTTATTGTCCAATGAAGTCAAAGCTGTAATAGAATGTGTGTGACAAGGACAGATTGGGAAGGAGACCTCTGGCTAAAATGGTATGTACCCTGATGAGTTCACAACTACAGGACAATCATCCTTCCAGGGCAGCAGCTTGGGACTGACTACTACATGTGTGTGTGCCACGTATCTTTCATGTTCTGATGATGTGGCACACGCTGGTCGTAGAACATGATTATTCTTACCTTTGCTGCTGATGAGGTGATGAACATTGCTGATGAACAACCACAAGATGAAACACTGACTTCAAAGAATAGCTTTGGGTTATGAAAACATTTTTGCATTGAAAGAAATCTTGTGAATTCTTTACTGAGGCTTCTTGATAAATAATAATTGTCAAGGCCGAAGTTATTGTGAACTAAAAAATACAAATAAACAAATTTACTGCCATCCAGTATGGAATAATGTCAAATAGACAGAAGGATTTCTGGAAGTATTGTAATCAGCAGCAGTCAGTGTGAAGAAAGCTCACAGGGCAGCAGCGATCAGCAAATGGGTCATGTCATACAATGTGCTTCAGAAGCAGTTTTACATGGGCATCACCCTTGAGCATTGGAGCAGGTTTGACACCTTCACCTCAGTCAGGCCACACAGTGTTGTTAGGTAAGGTCTGGAATGTTGTTGGAAGAATTGGAAGACCTTGTTGGTTTTGCTGCACAACTCTCACAATGTAGTCTGGCATTCTCAGGATGCAGTGTCACTCCAGGGCTGTTGCAAAAGCTAGTAAGCATGTCTCATTGTGGTATCCCACTGCATTCAAATTACATTCAATCACAAATATTTAAGGCCTTTGTGAAGCCGTTGTTTGACCACAGATCACAAAGCCTTAAAGAACATGCTTCATGTTACATTCACTTTGATGCCTGAGGGCATGTGTCCTGTCAAAGAAGCAAAAAGGAAACGTGACTCACCTTTGAAGAGGACACTTCTCCACTGTGCACAAGAAACAGTCTGATATACTACCATCAGGTCCAAGGTGTATTTTGCTCCTAACACATTGTCAGGTTGTACTTGCAGATATGCCTGTGTATGTGACGAGGTCATTCTATTGATAACGTTGGCAGAAGTGGCATGTAGTGTTCCTGTAGTATTGATGGGAGACATCACACTGCAAAGTACCAGATTCAAGCGTTGCTATAGCTCCCCATCTGTCATTTTCACAGTGTCATCAAGACAACATACCTGTAAGAATTCTTACAAGTGGTCTTGATATGGGATTGATACCAGATCTTTGAACGCTAAAAACTGTTTTTCCCTAACACTTGCTGGGTTTTTTTTCC